ATTTATAAATCTATTCAAATTTTAATTTTAAAAAAGATGAAAACAAAAGCACCTCTTTTGCTTCTTGAGCAGTAATCAACTGAAAACTTTAAGATATTTTTCTATTAACTATTTAAAAAAAATCTGACTGGAGCTAACGCAAAAACGAAGAATTCGCGATCGCAACACTCGAGTAACTTTTCATTTAGTTCCATCAAAATCATTGATAGAATCAGACGCCATTTTTTAGCAGCAAATAAGAAGCAAAATTTCCTTAAGGAAAAGGCCGAAGAACTTGAAAAAACTCTCCTGAATTTTGGTAAATCTTTCAGAACCCGCCAAACATTTGAAGAAAAATTCCTCAATAATTTAACTTCTATATTATCAACAAACTTGCAACTGATAACTTCCGATTTCGCAATCTCATACTGTTACAGATGTGTGTATTACGTTTAAATACATTTTTTTCTGTCTTCAATTCATTACAAATCAAAGTGAAGTCAACATTGCTTTCTTCATTCCAATGAAATAAATCAATAAAAAATCATCCCAATTACTTGAAATTGTGCTGATTATTTATAAATTTTGATCGTTTTCTTGGTAAGTATTTTTTAGTATTGAAGGAATAATTTCAACTAGAATTCAGCTATTCTGTTTTTGAGCTACATATTTAAATTCATATCGAGATCTTACAATTATAAAATTTTGATGTGTGGTATGTTATCTAAAAGTAATGAAGGGATAATCTTTGTATATATTATTTGAAACTAAAATTTTCAAACGAAGAACATTTCATTTGGAATTCTCCGAATTCTTAAAGAAGGTGATTTTTATAATATGATTTTTATAATAAAAAATTTGCTTGTAAATAATTTTTTTTTTTACTTGATGATAGTTCTCAACAGAATGGTTTTTACGCCTGATTAAGAACTATAAGAATATAAAAAAAGAAACAAAATGACAGTTTTTTATTTCAAAATGATGAATTTTTAAAATCGTTTTTTTATCCCAAGAATTTTTTGTTTTGCATTTTTTAGTTTATGATTTTTAGATAAAAATTGTTGTCAAAATGCTTTTTTTGAAAAATTAAATGGTATAACATTATGTGTTTTTGTATACTTCTTGCATATTCTAATGTTTGAAGTAATATGATTCAGAAAAGTATGGAATAAAAATTCGATACTTATGTATTAACGCCACCGCAGCTACAGATTTGGCGGTTTTTTAAGTGCCGCCATTCTACACCTAAAATTTTTGGGACAAATCATAAAATGAAATACTTTATTTAAAATCAAAGTAGTCAATCGGATTTCGGTTAAAAATGGGCCGAAATAGAGTTTAACATAGATTCAAAACAATCTCTATTTTCTTTCACCTGACGCTGTCGCCATATTAACTCTAATAAATAAAATTCCAAATGAAATAACATTTCCAAAACGGATGTTTACCAAGATAAAGTTTCATGTCATGGGAATAGGTAAATTTTCGTTTTTTTGCTAAAATATTTCTCTCCTGAAAAAATAAAATTGCATCTGTTTTGTTTTTGGCAAATCCCAAAGACGAATTGTTGTAGCACTAAAAAATGGCGTCAAAAAAGAATTTTTTTTGTTTTGTTTCGTAAGCATTCTTTATTTTACGTTTTTTAGTCTCTAAATAATGATTTTTATTGAAACTTGAAATTTTTTTATGTTGTTGTTGTTGTTGCTGGCCCTCACGGTTAGCGGAGCTAAACCAAGTCCATGACTCCAGAGACTCTGAGCAAGTCTGTAACAAAAAGTGGATCTGAAAAGAGGTCCACTTTAGAGATATTTAGGCATTGAAGTATATGTTCAGGAGTAGCTTGTTGGTCGTTACACTTAGTGCAAACAGGGAAAACTCTTGAACCATTACTGAACAACATAGTTCTTAGGTGACCGCTTCGAAATCTTGATATAACCGTCTGATCCCTCCTGCTGCACTGAAGGGTCAGGCTGCCACCTGGGCGGTTGCACTGTTACCAATGATGAACTGGAGGGGCCACAGGATCACAAAGCCTGTTAAAACGGGAGTGGAGCTCCCGTTTTAATAGGAATTTAACTTCCCGTTTTCGGAAAACAATTTTTTTATAAAAATTGTTGTCTAAATTTTTTTTTTACAAAATTAAATTTTTATGTAAACTTTTTGCTCGTTTTAATTTTTAAAGTAATAAACTGTTGTTTGTAGAAAATGCAACACCATGAAAGAATCATCAGAATCAAATGAAATTTAATGCAGAAACGACTTGTACTGATACAAATAAATGATGAAATTTTCAAAACAAAAGAAACAAATTAAGCGTCCGAAATCAGTATTTGGTGCAGCCACCACGCGCTGCAATAAGTGCTGCTATACGACGTGGCATGGAGTCAAACAGATGTTGAATATCTGCTTGAGGAAGAGAATTCCATATCGCTTGTATGCGCAACCAAAGTTCGTCTTTGGAAACTGCAGGACGCGGATCACGAGTGAGACGCCGACCAACCATATCCCACACGTGCTCAATAGGCGACATATCCGGCGAATAAGCAGGCCAAGGAAGAAGTTGCATGCGTTGTGCTGAACAGAAGTCTCTAACAGTCCGCGCAACATGTGGGCGTGCATTATCCTGCTGAAAGATAGCTCCAGGGATGCCTTGAAGGAAAGGAACGACTTCGGGCTGTAGCACTTCACGGACGTATCTGTTGCTATTGAGATTACCCTCAATTCGTATCAAATTGGATCGTCCATGATACGAAATCGCACCCCAGACCATAACTCCGGGTGTTCGACCACTATGTCGTTCAATAATACACTCAGGAAGGCAGCGTTGACCGGCATAACGTCTAACACGAACACGGCCATCATGGGTCCACAAATTGAAGCGTGATTCATCTGAAAAGACAACTTGGTGCCAATCAGCTCGCCAGTCTCTGTGCTCAAGAGCCCACTGCCGACGCAGCCGTCGATGATCCGCCGTGAGGGGAATCCTGTATAATGGCACCCTTGCACGCAATCCACGGCGCAGCAGACGACGACGAATTGACGAAGCCGACAATTGTACACCTGTAGCAGTAGACCAATGTGCTGCCAGCTGCCTGGAGGAAGCTGTGCGATCATTCACCGCCATGCGGAGCAGGTGTCGATCATCGCGCTCTGACGTCACCTTCTGTCGTCCAGTGCCTGTTTTTCGAGTTGTTCGGTGCTCGTCGGTCCACTGCTTCCAAACTCGCATCACTGTGGAACTGTTCCGCTGCATACGAGCTGCTATTGCGCGATAGGAAAATCCTCCTTCTCGAAGGCCGATTATCCTCCCTCGTTCAAACTCCGTAAGTTGCTTGAATTTCTTATTCTTCCGTCGTGGAGGCATACTCAGGTCTCACTAAACGTTTGCCACTAACAAATAATCATAGACTATTTTCAACGTCCCGCTACAGCACTTTATTTATACGCTTTCAGCATCAATTCAGAGGGCGCTGCGCGCGCCACGCACGCGCGATGGCTCTGAAACTTTATTAATTTGCATAATATCCTATATCCATTATTAAAATAATATTTCATTTGATTCTGATGATTCCTTCATGGTGTTGCATTTTCTACAAACAGCAGTTTATGATTCTTAAAACTATGGAATGTGAAGTTTAAATAGGCCATTCATGTTACATCATTAAATTTAGTAAAACTATTTCTCGGGCAACTGTTATAAGAGTATACATATTTTTTTCTGTTTATGTACAAATATTTTTCCGATGTGTTTTGGATGTTCCTTCTCTAAAAAGAAGAAATACCATTTTGTTTGCATAAGAAAGAATATCAAACATATTTATTTTTTAAATTTAATAAGCCACAATAAAGAAGAAAAGTTGCAGTGCTACACGCTATATTAAAGACGTCTCTAGAGCAGTGTTTCCCAAAGTGTGGTACGCGTACCCCCAGGGGTACGCTTTCTTTTACGAAATATCTTGCAACAAACGAAAACTTCAAAAAATCGAATTTAAAAACAAAGCTAGCCATGAAAATTAACGATTACGTTATTTTTCTATTGGCTATTTTTTGCAGAGTTAACAGTTAATAATTAGTGGTGTCAACAGCCAGTTGTGATTTTTAACTTCTGTGCAATTTTTTTATAGTAAAAAATGCATTCATTTTTTTATTAGTGATACACAGCGTCACGAAAAATTTAGAAAGGGTACGCAAAAGTCATAAGTTTGGGAAACACTGCTCTAGAGTAACTGAGTGACTGTTCATATAGAAATCGCAGGTATTCGTCTCACACAACAACGCCTTCTATAGTTCGTTGCTTAGCAACGAAGTATTTCTCTCTTGTCGATTACTTGGTTAGGATATGGTTAGATTAAATTTCTAATCCTGGTATGGTGATAATTCTTGGCTTCTTTTGGGAATGACGCCAAGTATTTAAAACTTCCTAGCGCCCTAAATTTTGAAGCAATTTTTTTCAAAATTTTGTCAACCCTCCCAATTTTGAGGGTCAACAATCCAAATATTTAAAAAAAAAATTTTTTTTTTTATTCAGAGAAAGTGCGTTTTTGTGTTTGATATCGCAACTTAATTAATAGTTAGTGCTAATTAATTAGCATGTTTGAAGTCACCCCAGAAACCATTAGGATTGACACAGTTTTTTTTTACGTGTGGCTTTTCTCGAAAGTGCTAATTTGTAACATACCCCCTTTAACCTTGACCGCTTCAATTTCTCTGACCTAATAATTCTATAAATGACGTATTACCAAAATTCTTTAAAGAACGAAACAGTTCTCATATAAATGAAATTGTAGAATAATTCTAAATCTTTAAAATTCTTTAAATTGTGAATTTCGTTTTATAAACTAAAAAAATTCTTAACTTGAATGTAAGAGTGATTGTTTTATCTCTTAAGATGAAAGTTGCATCAGATATTTTTTGAAGCAGAATTTTTTTTAAAATTTTTATCATCTCTTTTTTATATAATTGTAATGGTTTCATTCCCTTGAAAGTGAGCTCATCCATTGAATCTTATTTCTTTCTTTTAGGAAAAAAAAATAGTAGCGTGTAACATAATGGAGTATATGTTGAAGCAAATCGAACCAGGCAATGATAACCCCATAATAATTCCGCTTCACCAAAATGAAGTGATTATTGGAAGACGGAAGAATGCCGACTTGAGAAACTATCAACAAGTATCGAGACAGCACGCGGCCATCCACAGAATTCAAGGAATATATTATATTCGAGATCTCAGTACTTATAACAACCTCTATGTCAACAGAACCAGTGTTGGTAAAGACATGCGCCGATTAGAAGTGGGAGATCTTATTGCCTTCGGGACGCCATCTCCTCAGAATGGAAGTGGTGGTTTTTTATGCATGTTCTGTATGCGTATGCGTGTAAAAAAAGAACCGGAATCTGATGACGATGATGTAATGATTATAGAAAATGTAAAAGAAGAGATTATGGAAACTGTTCCCCCAGTTCCTTCCAGCGAACCTGTCATTGCTGAAGTTTATTCGGTTGGCGAAAATTCTAATCAAAGCCTAGAAATAATTTCTGCCAGTTTGGAGCCTAGTCGTGTAAATGAAAATTCTAGTCAAAGCCTTGGCGATTGTAAAACAAGTGGTAAACCATTAGTGAAAGAAAAAGAAAGTTTCACTATCGAGTCGTCCACCCCAGTCGAGCATTTTGAATCGGTTGAACAAAAGAGAATACTTTCCTTTCAAAATCGAAGCGAGGTGGCGACTGACACATTAAATGGGATGGAAGTTTGCGAAATGTCTGAAAGAAACAGCCGAATCGTAGATGAATTAAGAGAAAGAAACGGAGAAAAGGTAAAATTAAGAAACCAAAAGGAAAACAGCCAAGATTGTGTCATTCTGGAAGAGAGGAAAGGAGGTGACAAAGTTGCAGTTGAAGAGAAAGCAAATGACAAGGTCAAAGTGAAAGAAAACAACCAAGAAATTGGCCCAATAAACATAACTGGATCCGTAGAGAACTCACTTTCTGCTTCGAGTATTAGCGTTCAATATTCTAACAGCGTAACAGGCAGCAATATTCAAGTTTTCTCTGGGAAAACCGATCCTCCTAAACTGTTTACAATTGCAAAAGATATCAAAACTGAGCTGAGGGATGAAGAGAAAATTCCAACTTTATTAAATAGCCTGGAGAATGGGTTTCTCTCTCCTAGATCGAACTTTTTGAAAACAACGCTAGGAATTCAGAAGGAAACATTAACAAGTAATTCACCTGTCCCTTGTAGTTCAAAACCTCATCAGATTAATTTTGTGGAACAGAACTATTTTAAACTAAGAGATCAAATAAGTGTGCCAAATGGTAGTGAGGGGAAAATAGAACGGGAAAAGATAAACAAAAACAGCCGCATAGAGGATGACTTGCATTCTAAAGAAACTTTTACATTAGCTGGCTTGAATTACAGCAGAAGTTTGGCAAGCAACATTTCATTGTCTAATCTAGAGCGATTGTCTACTTTTGCGGAAAGTTTTGCAATTGGACATTGTGGCAATAATCTCATCAGCAATGTAAATCAAAGTCGATTGATGAACCCTATTAGTAATGTAATAAAGAAATCGATTAATGAGAGAATTTCGAACAGCTCAAAAAGAGAGTTTATAAAGGAACCCAGTTTCTGCAGCTTAGATAACCAAAGCCAATTGTCTAGAATACAAAATAAATCGGGCTTAACTGCACAAAGTTTTTTAACTGAATGTTTTGAAAATAATCTCTTCGGCAATTCAAGTCAAAGTCGATTGATAAAGCCATTTAATGATATAATAATGAAAGTGGTCGATAATGTCGCTTCGAATCTGTCTAAAAAAGAGTTTGTTAAAGAAAATAAAAACGAGTTGTTTAGAATGAAAAATGAATCAAGAAATCTAGAATGTAGCTTGACTGAGCAGGCAAACTTTTCTGCTGACTCTTGCTTGCCAAATGTACCCGAAAACCGATTCTCATCCCGCCCATCTTGTGACATGAAAGAAAAGTGTTATTCTGATTATTCTCGGACCGCTTACTCTTTAGAAAGGAAGCACAGTTTTTCAGAAGAACCTAATTCTGGAAGTGCGTCTCAATCACTAGAAAATAAACAATGTTATCTTCCAGAATACATTTACAACGACTGCTCTTCAGAAAAACATAATTTTGACATTCCTTGCCCTAGAAATAGATGTTTTTCATCAGAATCAAAATCTGAGAACCGCTTTTCTGATGCTGTCAGTGATACCTCATGCCCACCTAATGATCGCCACACCTCTTTTGAATCAAACAATCGACTCAACAGTTTAAGAATGTCTCGTATTCCTGTTTTTTCAACGCTACCTGATAGTCTTTTAGAGACAAAGAACTCTACCAGCTGTTTAGATAAGCCGCGTCCTGTTTCTTATTTCTCAAAGCTAACCGAGTGTTCTTTCGAATCAAACAACATGCACAGATTTTTAGAAACTGCTCATCTTAATTTCCCAAGAGATTCAGGAAGTCGACAGCTTCCTTTAGAATTAAACAACGGTCACACTGATGCAGAAAAACCTTTTTCTATCATCCCTGATTTACCAGACAATTATCGTTTTCCATTTGAAGAAACTTATGAAAATATATCTTCTGGGAATTTAACTAGACTCGTTGTAGAATCCATTTGTGATGTAGATATCCTTGAAGATTGTCGCGTACTCTTGGAACGCTGTGACAGTGAACACTTTTGTTTACCCCCCGATGTGAGATGGACTAACAAAGTAATAGACATAAAGCTTTTGAAGAAGAGGAGAGAGACTAGCCAAAAGCAGAACACCAATGGAGCTCCGCGTTTTAGGTCTCACACATTAAAACCAATTAGGAATAAACTTAGCAGTTCAGATGTAGATCAAAAATCTTTAAAGAAGAAGAAATTCGAATCGATTAAAATAATAAGTGATAGTGAAACATTTTATTCTACTGATCCTCTTAGCAGTGAGAGTGGGGAAAAGTATTCATCTGATGAAAATGAAGAAAACTGCAGCGAACTTCTGTATCCTAGTCACATCAAATCACAACAAAAAATAAAAAAAACGGCTGAACTTCACGAAAATACTTATGAACCAAGTCCTTCAACATTCGAAGATGATAAGGTGTCAAAATCGAGCATAAATTTTTCCTCTCATCAACTTAGGGAAACTAACGGTGTTGTGAAGATATCTGAAATGGCAAGCGATAAACCTAATATCGGCTTCCACATAACTGAAGAGAGCGATTCTAATAAAAATCAATACTTTCCCTGTATAAAGCAACATCTGAATGTGAAATCAATGAATAAAGATCAAATTCCGAGACAAAAAACGAGTAATTTACAGATACAGACAACCGCTCTAAAACGATTAAAGACTTGTATTGAAACGGAAGAAAATGTAGAAGGAAAGAAAAAAATCCGAAAGGCGTTGTTGACTGAACCTAAACCCATGGAGAAAAGACCAAAATATGCGAGGGGGCGCGAAGAATGGTTCGAAGAGAGAATAAGTGAATCGCCATTGGTGTCTTCGACTCCTGTTGAAGAAACGCCAAAACCACCAAAAAAACATGTAAATCCTCCTTCCTCGCTGATAAAAAGTAAAAACTCGAATTGCGCGTCAAGAATGATTGCCGAAAGATCACTTATAGGATTCAGGATTCCAAAACGTAGTAAGGATGATTCCAAAGAAGCCCAGTCTTCCGTCAAACAGAAAAAAACGACTAAAGTTCCCCGCAGGTCCGAAAAGTGCAGTTCGAGAATGGGATTTTTAACAGATGTTTTGAAGGTGAAGCCCGTATCGAGGAGCAATGTTGTGAACAAACATCCCGTAGAAGAAGTGGAGAAATCGAACTCGAGGGAGAAGAAGCAAACACATGAGCATAGAGCTAAGCGTGGTCTTGAAATTTTGTCAACCATTTGCAGTGGTGGTAAAGCGGCTGAAAAGTGTGGTCCTTCTGAAACCTTAAGACATTCGACTGTGAAGAAAGTTCGTTTTAGCGATACTGAAAAGACTTATTTCGAGAGAAGCACGCCTCGAGTGAGGCCTTCCATCAGTTTGAAGAGGAGAAATGTTGCAGTCATTGAACCCTTTGTAGCCCGGAAGGAAATGGACGAATGCCAAATACATCTCAGTCAATGTTTCCCCATTGTTAAAATGTTGATAAAATGGAACCCGAAATGGTTGAAGGAACAAAAAGAAAGAACTAAGCCCCCTCCTCTTGTGCCTGACATATCCAATGCTTCTCTTTGTTTCGAAAATTATGATACCTACTTCTCTCAGATGCAGTCGCTGATTATTTTAAATGCCTGGGATTCGTTGTATGAAAATTCCAAGCATCTGTTCCCAGACATGAGCTGGAAGAGCTTTCATTGCATCATTAAATCTCAAGTTGAAAAACATGGTATGGTGGAGATAAAGTGCGAAGCTGCTGTCGGGGGAAATGTGTCCTATTTTCCATCCAACGGCGATGTTATTCTATTAAACACTGAGAATGAAGAACGTACAATTGAACATTTTTTGTTCGGATTCATTACTTTCCATAAACCTGTCACTTTAAAAGAAGTTTCGAGTGCATCTGAATGGCATGCGATTCCTCAGACTTGGCTAGACAGCGCTAAATTTCATATTTTTACCGCTTATATTAAAAAACGGAAGACACTTTGTTCGCCTTCCTTGCTACTTGCCAACGGCGTTTGTAACATACAGCTGAAATTGCACGCGATGGAATATCTTTTTAAGTTCCAGTTCGCACCACTAGTTAAATCTTTCTTGCAACCAAAGAAACTCTACTTGAAATCAGATTTTACACCACTAAGGAGAACCAAAGAAAGTTTCATTCAAACTATGTGTACCGAAATAACAGAAAACAATGAGCCAAAAATTTTCCTCGTGCAAGGAACAGTAGCAACAGGCAAAACATGTGTCGTATTGGAGTTAATTGAGAAGCTGTTGTATAACAGTTTGTCGAAAGTGTTTGTTTGCACTCCATCTCATTCTGCTGCAGATGAAATCGGTTTGAAACTTGTTGATTTGGTTGAGCGAAGCACTTGGCGAGGGAAACCTGTGAAATTAGTGAGACTGGGTACCGCGAGTAAAATTAATCCAAAAATGCAACATTATCACCTTGACGTACTAGCTGAAAAAAGTTCTCGCAGTCGTAAGCGCAAAGAACTTGCTCTCGATGAGCGAATTAAGAACTTAGAGCATTGTATAGAAATAGAGTTGGTAAGAAACTGTGGAGGGAAACTCAAGGATTTAACAGATCAATTAACAGAAACAAAGACACAGTTAAGGCAAATGACAGAATTCGCAAAAAATTGGAAGCTTAAAGTCCTGGAGGAGTCTGATGTGATCATTTCGACGGTCATTGATTTTCGAGAGTACAATACCAATATCCCATCCAATCCATTTTTTCAGACCACTGCATGCTGCATTGTAGATGATGCTTGCCAGTGTAGCGAGCCTGAACTTCTGCACTGCCTTACTTGCGGTGTCGGCAATTTGGTATTAGTCGGCGACTCCAAGCAGTATGTGACGGGAGTGAGTCGCACGTCGCTGACTTCTCGCAGCCATCAGTCCCTGTTCGACAGACTCTATGCCGTCTACACGGAACTTCCTCATTCTCCTATGCTTATCCTGAAAGAACAGCATCGAATGCATTCGGAAATATGCCGTTTTCCTTCTTATTATTTCTACAAAAACAAACTTAAATCTCACTCAGAAGTGGATGAAAAGCTCCGTTTATTTCCTCTGAAACCGTACGTGGTGATGGACATTACACCGAACGGCGACGTGAAAAAAAAGGTGCTCTTTGAGATGGCTCGTTTCCTCACTGAAACTGCTCCGGGTGCAACCATCGGAGTGATAACGCGAGAAACTGATGTGGCCATTCACAGGGAAGCTTTATCTCGTTATGACGATGTCGAAGTAGACTCGGTGCAGGGCTTTCAAGGTCGAGAAAAGGATGTAATAATCGTGTCGGTGACAAACAATTCTCATCTGGACGATTTCGTGACGAACGAAGACAGCCTCTGCACGTCTCTGACTCGATCGCGCAAGACTTTGATAATTTACGGACATATCTCGAGTCTTAAAAATGTCAAACACTGGAATTCTTTGCTGAAAAATGCGAAAATTCGTGGTGTTTACGTTTCTGTAGCATCCTTAGGGGAGAAAGATGTAACGAAGACTTTAATCGAGTTTATAATCAAACCATTTTAAAAATATGTGACACATATTGATTTCTTAAACATATAAAGGTTATGAGATCTTTACCTTCCTTTAAAAGGATCTTTACCTTGTAAGTACAAATTGAAAAAAATTATAACAAGAAAAGGTTGGACAATTCTTAATGCACATTCATGTGACAAAGCTTAAATCTATCCTTCCAGAGTTCTGGTTTTAGTTTAAAAATTTTTCAGCAGATGGCGCTATGGTGTATAAATAAAAAAAAAATCACCTTTTTTTAATCAAAATTTTTGAAAACCATCTGTTCTGTCTAATTTAGAGCATTATATACAGAAAACTTACATTTTATTTTTCTTGAGGGCAAGTTAGGTTCTCATTAGGAATGTCGGATTGAGCGTGACATGCCAAAACCATGTGCCACTTTCAAATAATCGTTTTAGCTAATAATTTTCTATTGAATTGAAAATATATATATTTACAGGGGAAATGTTATACAGGCGATTTGAAACTATACATGAATGTATATTTTCATTTCTCTGATTTTAAATAAAAATATTAATTATATACCAGGATTATCTAAAGAAGTGCTGAGTACTGTTTTAACTACTGATATATGCAAGAATGACATATTTATTTTAGATTCAAAATCCCTTGGTGATGATTAATATAGAAGAAGTTAATTATTTTTAAATCTTTTTTATTAAATGTCGCTTTATTCCTCCTTTCAGTTCAAAGACTTTTTATTTAATAAATTGAAATATTTACTGAAGAATCCATTTTATAATTTTTTTTATTTACTTATAATAGTAGAATTTTTTAAGTTAAAACTAATGTATCTGCAACTTCAAAATTGTTCGAATTTCGAGTTGCAAAATAAAAAGTTACCAAACTTCTCGCAAATGCTTTGGTTTGATTTTTCATTACTATTTTAATTCTGTTACTAATACGTTATTTTTAATTTTGTTATTTTTTAAATGACGAATTTACTTAATTAATTAAAATTAGTAAGTAAATAACACTGAAGTTTTTTTGATAGCAAAATTAAGTAACTTTTTGAGTTTTTTTTATTCTACCCAAACATGCGACACAAAACTAGGCCAAATTGAAAAAGTTATAGAACAGCTTATCCACATTTTAAATTAGAAAATATAAGTTATTTTTCTTAGTTCAGCATGATTTTTTTGCTAAATATATTATTTTCAAAAGAAAAAACTTTTTTTTTTAAATTTTCGAATTCATTTTTGTAACAACTTAAATATAACTCTATAATCTTGTCAAGTATAACATATGATAAATACTTAGGATTGTGAAGATTAATTTCAAAAGAGAGAGGGAAAAGATAATTTTTCTATGATCTATATTTATAGAAAAGTTCATTTATTTAACTTTCTTACTCTGTGTATGTTTTTTCTCCCCTTGAATGATTTATAACTTAATCAATTAAGGGTTGTATACATTATTTTAATTTTATGTAACGTTTTTGTATGATTAAGTAAATTCATTTGTTTACTCACCTGTTTCTTCTAACATCTCCGTAAAAGTCTTCTTCATCCATAAGTTTTAATAGATTTTATGAAGGCTGCTTATAACATTTTATGTTATTTTATATTTTAATGTCTCATATTTGAAACATATATGAGATAGTTGTTTTTACTTACAACTTTGGTGCTATTCTTATAAGTTTGTTTTAGTTTAATATCTCAAAATTTTTTTCTGAGATATAGTTTATTTCACTTACAACTTTGCTATAAAGCTTTGTTTTAGTTTAATTTCTTAACATTTTTTTGAGATTCTTTATATATATATCTGTATACATTCGATGTTGATTTTGGTATCTTTCTCAGCAATATTTCTTTTTGTCAAATAATTTTGTATCATTGTATTATTTTAGTATGTTACTCTTGTTATTTTCATTTATTTCAATTGAAGCATTTATTGTGAAATTCATTTTGCTTACAACATTTTCCATTTTATATTTGTGGAAGTTATACTACCGTGGCAAATGCTCATTATTTTGTTTAAATCATTCGTTTTATTTTTAAGTTAATATCTTTAGTTATTTATTATTGTCTATTGGGTTGAAGTCATTTCGGTGTTTTTAGCCTGAAATAAAACTCATATTTTTATACAAATGAAATCAGTCCAACGTCTTACAATCTGTTCGAAGGCTTTTAGCCATTTATTCTGGGGGCTTTATGATCCCGAAGTTCTAGTCATTATCAGAAATGAAGGTCATTGTTATTACTGAAATTTCCAGCATTCCGAAAAATATAAAAACCGGATGGTACAAGGTCGGCACCATTTCCAATAATATGGTATGTGTTTCTAAAAATGGAACACTATTCCTTTGAGATTTGTGTTCCTCTTTTTACTCCCAATCTTTGCACCTTACGATTATAATTTATTTCGAAGTTAACTTTACAAATTGTGGAAATTCCAATATTAATAATGATTTTCCTTTGAGTTTTTTGCTGATGTGGACCGTGAAGTTCTATAATCGTGGAATCATGAAGTTACCAGAAGATGGGAAAAGGTCATCGATCAGGATTGAAGATATATTTATCTGATTAAAGTTCCTATTTCATGTTTAAAGTTCCAATTTCATGTAGAAAATATTAAGTATTTTCAAGCTAAATAAATTGAAATTACTGTTTCCAATCCAATATTTTGATGATCAAATGATGTTATTATTCTGCATTATTTTAATTTGCTGTTATTTTCCAATGTCAGTGAAACAAAATTGTATTGATTCTGAGCTTATTCCAAAAGGTGTATAAAAAAAAAACAAAAAAAATTTTTTGTTGCTCATTATAGCGTTGTTTTATTCGCTGTTACTTTTGATTATTTTTTCTATAAAGTATCAGTGCCTCGTATGTGAAACATGCCTGAAGTAGTTTATTTTACTTAACAACTACTTTATTTTTTTTACTTTTGATATTACTTTAAGATTTTTTTTTATTTCAGTTCAATTTCTCAACAATTGAGATTCCATAAATGCTTTACATTTTCTTCCAATTTGGAATTTTTCATTGTCAATGGTTTTTGCCGAAATAATGTGTAATATTTCCTTATTTTAGTTGTTATCCTTGTGGTCGTTTTTATTTCAAACATTTATAAACGAGTTCATTTGCATTAGACTTATTTATTTTGTGTGTGCATTACTTCATTATCCATTGTCACCATCCCTGGGGAATTTTTTTTCTTCCTAAAGGGTGAAATTAGCATTATTTTATTGATTCCAGTATACATTGTTTTAATTTTATGTTAATGTTTATTTTATATTTACTAGAAAGAAAGTAATTTTGGTTTCTGAATAAGAAATAATTCAATTTTTCTATTCAAAAAATGAACTTTAATCAGTTAAATATCATCAATTCTGTTCGATGACCTTTTGCCATCTTTTTTTATAGCTTCTCCTTTTTATATTTCATTTTATAACAGTCGTCAAACAGCCGATCCAATTTTGGATTTACGACTACCAATATTCAACTTCGTAGCCTTGTAATTTTGAACCCAATGAAGACAAAGGAACTCCTGGATCAAGTATCGGGGAAAATTTGTTTTCGTGGAAGACTTTGATGGAATTAACCCCCAATTTCGTTACATGGTGAGGGAAAGCACGAAACCCTTCCACGGTCAGCCTGACTGCAAGCGGACTCCAACTCATGATCCGTCTACCACTGAGCATATTTTTCATAGGCACTGTGGTCGGTGCAACCTGGGTGCGGAGTTCGTATCTACCATCTATCGCTGGGATCGAACCAAGGTCACCTCATTGGGAGACGAGCGCTCTATCCTCTGAATTGCCACGGCTCGTTAACTTCTTTCGGAAAACCTATGATAACCATAGAAATTTGTATGGCATTCATATGACAAGACACCTTCCCTATGGTAACGATAGAAAAATAGTATGATATTATATGGCGAGTGTTTGGCATAAGTGTATGGTAAAATTTTACCATATGCAAAGTCCCATAGGCATATCATTTGTCAAATTTTCCTAAGGGTCATGATCCCACGCTCATAGAACTACTGCTCCTTATCAAAAAAACCGAAAGTGATTTTAGAAAATTTTTAACCATTTAAGAATTTTTGTAAACTTCGAAATAAATGATTATCTCCGATGATCAGGTCGTGTTCCCCCACACTCAACGCGAGGCCTTGCACACCTTTAGCGACACATACGAAATTATTGGAGCATTCCCCACCTACTTAAAACTTTTCGATGTAGGGGAGAGTCGGGTAGCCCCGCCCACTGTCAATTTCATATGTATAGAATATTTTTTCAAGTCAATAGGCCATCGGACATTTATGCAGCTGTTAACATGGTAAACAATAGTTTTGAAAATATGTTGAATACAGTAGTAATTTGAATGTTATATGCATTTTTAACAACAAATGTTGTTATTAAATGATAGAATTCACTAAAAGTATATAAATATGTAATAAATAAAATAATTTTGTGATAAAAAGGATAAACGAGGTTTATCTATTGTCAATACATTGGTCATTTTAATTTACACCTGAAAAAACAGTCAAAAAACATAATTTTTGTAACTGGGCGGAGCTACTCGACACATTTTGAAAAGAGCTGAAAAACATGTTTTTTTTTAATTTCTATTTTTCTAAGTTAAACTATTCTTTTTTTGGTTTATTCTGTTTGCATTATTTAATTAGATGATAAAACAATAGAAACATACAAAAATATTGATTATTACTCAATATTATTCAGAAATATCAGCAATACTCCTTAAGTGGGCGGGGCTACCCGACTCTCCCCTATATATTTAAAACTTTTTTAATGGTAAAAATTTAAGTAAAAACTATGACCTGAAATTGCAAATTCTGAAGTAAATTTTTTTGCTGTTAAATGACCCGAAGTTCTATGAGCTTATGAAGTTATCAGAAAAGACAGCAAAAGGCCATCGAATAGAATCGAAGATATTTAACTGATTCAAGTTCATTTTTTATGTAGAAAAGGATTGAGATCTCGCACCAAGAAACAAGATCCCTTTTTTCCCAACCAAATATTCATTTTATCAAATTAGTTAGATTTAAGTTTCTAAACGGCATTATTTTAATTTAGCGCCATTCTTTCATTTCTTTGTCTTACCGCAGGGGACTGATCGTAAAGACACAGAAATCAAGCATCACTGGCTGCAGTCAGTAAGTGGGTGGATGACCTCTTTGATCAGCCTGCGTAGATACCGAGGAGGGTGCGCTGTTCTACCATAAAGTGCTCGACTTCGCGCGTTGGTCGTCGGGCTACAAAAGCAAGGGAGCCATCCCCTCTGCAGAGGATCATTCTCAGGGATGTTTCCCAGACCGTCGCCAATAGCTCATTCTCCAGCTGTTGGGCGACGTAAATAAAGTACCTACCTACCCTTTTCCACGTCCTTTCTTCATTGAAAAAAAAAATTTCTACAAAATTAACTTTTTTTTAATTTTTATTATTAACCCCTCGAATGTTTCATAGGACGCAACTTACTCAAAATTTGCATTTTTATATCCAACCTTGTTTTGTTTCCAAATAATTGTTTTACATGATTGATACTTTCGTGAAACAACACACTATGAAAATATCGCATTCTATTCATAAAAATGCTCTTCTGAAAAATAGGCATAAGCGACTTATTATTTTTTTGCCCTTCAGTCATCGACTCAACGTGTCTTAATGTTTCACAATAAGTTTTGTCTTATCGGCTCTTTGACGCACTTGCTTCGCGATGATTCTGTCATTTGCTGATTATATATTGTTTTAAAACCATTTCCACGTTTTTTTTTCTTTTAAAAAGAAAATTGATATTTTAAATATGAAACGCGAATTTCAAATTTGAGTTATCATAAGTTCACAACAATTATTATTGTCCATTTCCGCATAGTTTTTCATATATTGATGTTTTTGACACGATTTTTTATAAGGCATTTGTGTTAATATGTACGCCATATTACGTATCTGTGTGGCCCAAAGGCTGTCTAATTTGTCGGTTGAATCGATAAAATCAACTGTTACACTAAATATCAGAAATGACTATCTGAATTATGTGTAAAATACTGAAGTTAGTTAAATTTCCAAATCTTGGTCATACTTTAAGAAGGAAATACATCAATAAATCTGCAATGATCAAGAATATGTAAATGATATTTCTAATGTTTTTGGCAGTACCGATTTTAAAAATACAGTTCTACATATGATAGGATTGCTTGTTCAAATAATGGTTCTGATTATCGTTTCAATGATATTATCAAATATTTTTATTATAAAAAGCTGCACGAACTTAATAGCTCTAAAAACAAATTGCTTTCTGATGCT